CCGCGGACGACAGACTTTGAAGCCACTGCTCAAGCCTTTGCAGCGGTTCGGTGCACATCCTCGCTGGCAGTGCCACAAAAGCACCAAATCATCTCTTGTTTGAGGCATTTTCTGGCATTCGCCCCCGAGCACTGCTGCCACCAAAGCTTTGGGGCTTATGACGGTGGCCATGTGGCGCAATTGTGTCAAATGACCAGGGCATCTGTCGACCAGTGGATGGAGAAACCCGACGCCTAGCAGGGAATCGACTTGCTTGAACCCAAAATCCATGTGCGGCATCTACGACCAGCCAATACCTACAGGCACATCACCACAATTGGATTTTGTGCAAAAAATTGTGGGGAAATCTATTTGTTCACATTTTAGTTTATCTTCAGGAGTGTGCACCACGGTTATGGTACAAGTAAAGATTGCACTTGATAATCATTGTTTTCTTCATAGGGTACCATAAGATAAAATAAATTGTTGCGTTTATATAAAAGCCACATTGGTGCCCCTTAATTCATTCATAATGGTGCTGGAATTTAACAGGAAGGCTTTTTTCATCATTGCAGATTGAAAGAGCAACGCTACAATTTCATTAAAGGTTCATCAGGTGCGAGGTCTAAATATCCCTTCATTAGAAAGTTCAGCCATGTCCATCTCAATTAACAAGTTGCCGACTTTTTCAGAAATTTAGCTACTTTTCGGCATCATTGAATGCCAGAATGTACACTTTCTCCCGCACAAATACATTTTTAAATCTTTCACATACTTGCAAATATCTTCGACATTTTTAAATAGCCAATGGTTTGTACAGTTATAAAGGCTACAAAAAAGTGGATTTAAAGCCGACATTACGTGCCTAGTTCTAAAAAGTGAAATCCGTGATTGAACTTCTCCTCTTGCAATAACAAACAAAATACATCAACCCCGGCTGAAATTAACTTAAAAGTTGACAAGACGCTATTTGCAAGGAATTCTCCCCACCGACTGAGTTGTGATCTATGTAATTCAGCTGGGCATGTGAACAAAGTAACTAAAAAAAAGGTACAGAGAGCTTCAATAAGCCTGTCCTCAACCAACCTGGGTGAGTAATCAGCCCATTACAACCAAGTTATGCAGGCAAGAAGGTATCAAGAGGTCACCAGTGTGTAGAGCGGTAGACTGGGGTACAGCATTTGCAGGAATTCATGCCCTCTTACACACAACACAATAATGCATTAAACCATTCCTCGGCCACCTCTTGGGTTCATCACAGCACTGCCACTCTCTCTCGAGGCAAAGAATGCAAGGGTATCAACAGGAGGTACAAAATCTCAAGAGCAGAAATGATGTCATTTTGGTGGGACGTAAAATTATCATTTCATAAGCACACCACGACCTCACACTTTTAATGCTCAATTGCCCCCCTCACATGTATTACTCTGGCTCTAAACCATTGTCATTATTCAATACGCTTGACAACAATTAACCCTGGAACTGCATTTACTTTTGAAGCTAAGCCGCTTACTCTGTCCATACGTTTTTTGCAGTGTATGCAGGTCTACTTAATGGTTAATAATGAATTACCATATTTTAAAGTAAAGCTTAGAACATGCAAATTAACCATCTTACTGTTGCCAAATTGTCATTATCAATGAATTACCAAAACCATGTTAACATAGTTAAATGTTTGTGCCATACATTGGCCAATCAGCAAAAAAATAATCCAGCACCATTTTATTCTAGGTTAATAACGGTTTCATTCAAATCTGTTTCACTAAATCAGTTTTATTTCATTTCAAGGACTAGTCACAGTATCGAAGAACAAAAATCAACCTTCGCATCAGAGACCACAATTATAGCAAGACCAAAATTGAGCAGGGGAGCAACATGTCAGAGCTGACACTGCTGCTGGTGGCCAGTGACAAACTGGGATACGTGACATTTATACTGGGTCACAGTGTAAGACGGTTCGTAAAAAAAGCAATGGGGGGGGAAGAAAATAGACCAAACGTGGATTTGTCTGTTACGAATGCAAAGTATCCATCACATGGAGCAAAAAAACAATGCCACACTGCAAAAACACATCAAAGATGCACAAACAATACAAGTGCAGGATAAGAAATTAGTCGGACAAAAATGATAAGAACCCCAGGAAGGAAGATCACTTTGGTCCTGCCAAAACGGATTTGGGCAGGCTCTTCCCTGACAGCAAAAGACAATGACCAAATCTAGTGGGAACGAACAAACGGAATTAACCTGTTGCTGCACACACCCAAAGCAGCATCGGCAAAAGTCGTCGTCATTGGGCGCCGATGACCGTTTGCTCCGTGAGGTAGAGCATACATTAAGTGACCTACCTGGGTATTGCGAGTGCGCTGCCATGACAACGGTGATGCTAAAAACATTTAAACCTACGAGGATTGTTTAGTTTCAACCAAAATTTGAAATCAAATACGTTGACAGAACACAAGCTGACAAGCGGCAGTTCAGTGAAACGTAACCAATTTATTTCTTCCCAAGAGAGGACACGATAGTAGCTGCATACTTTTCATGCCACAGGACACTGCACACAAACAACGAAGAACTTCTGCCGTGAAAGAGCGTGTGCACCGATACCGAACGCAAAGGTAGCTAAAAATGCAGGTAAGCGCCAAAGGCTTTGGATCAAACCGCTGCAAAAGGGGCTTACATAACGATGCGCCAGAAATTGGGTGGGCATTGTACGAGTATGGGCCGACTGGTGGTGTGCACATACGCCAAAATGCAAAGCCAGCACTTTCGTCCAACTCGCAAAAAAATTGTGAAACCACTGCGTTAATGATTATCTAAACGAAGCTTGGATGAATGCGGGGTGGCTGTGGCGGCACATAAAAAAAGGTCTCACGAGTTCCTCCCCAACATTCCGATGGCTTCAGAAAAGCAGACCATTGTCATTTGCTGTGCCATTTAAAGCATGCTCGTTGGGGGCCAAACGCACATTCAGCAGTGTAGTACAATCGCATGGAATGTAAGCACACTTTTGGGCACGTTTTTTACGACTGCTCTCTTGGAAGTGTGGCGGCTTCCTTTTTTTTTAGAAAACACAGGCACTACACTCCTCCTTGCGTCGGTCCTGGGGTATTGACATTTTCCACGGAAGACGTGTCACATACGGCTATGGCCCCACCCCCCACACACAGACAAGGCCAGCCCTTGTGGCTCTCTTCTTACAGCGCACACGCACCCTCACAACCTTACCATGTACGTGCCCCCACAGCACACGCACGGCAATACCACCGCGGGGGACAAAGCAGGCACGCGCGTACTGCCACGCACACTTGCACGCTCCCTGCGCACACGCGTACAGTGCCGACGACGCTCATACGTTTCCAAGCGTGGGCTGGGCACGAGGATGGACACGAAAACCACCACAACACGCAGCCAGCCAGCCCCCACCACCAACACCCACCAGACCACGCTATTTTGGGCCCTCAGACCCAACAGCCATGCACGCGGGTGACACAGCATGGTCAGGATGAGAGGGCACAGGGGAGGGAGGGGGGGGGGCAACCAAAGGGACCAGTCTCACTAACCATGCGGCTAGCAGATCATCCACGCAGCAGCAGCAGCAGCCACTCAGGAAAATCAGGCAGCCAGCCTCAAAAAGCCGAAGGCCCACCGTGGGCACACCCAGCGCGCTCTGCTTCTTACCCCGCCCCCCACGCCGCCATCAGCATTCACACCACGCGGCGCAGCTGCTGCTGCTGCTGCTGGCGGCTTTTCGCCGGCCGGTAGGCCGACACCAAGAAACAAACGCGCGTTAACAACCATCCATCCAACTCGCAGAACCACACACACATACCGTAGAAATGCCATGGACAACCACGACAATGATTAATAGCCATCCTCACGTACTCACACACGGGCTCGCCGATAAGCCAGATGTGTACAATGGACACACGGCACAGCAACACTGAAACTCGCGCAGTTAATCCGCACAAACCGATTAGCACAGTTGGCTACGTACGGTGCGAAATAAGTTCACAGTACAATCAGCCTCCCATAACCACGCGCGGACCACACAACTGTGCACACCACACATTCGCAGAGGACTATCATACGTAAACCAAACAACCATATGTCAATCCACAACAACCATCGACTCCTTTCACACAACCACTCACTACTGTACCACAACCTCCACACACCCATTATGTAACATACAACCACGCATGCCCAACCACAGCTACACTCTTGGCATAATTATATCCCTGGCCACATCAGCATTCACCACCAGACCCCGAACCACACTTCACTAAACACGTACAAGCCACACGGTTAAAACGCCACACAACCATATTTGTCTACGCACCCATAAAATCACACCATCACATACACACGAGTGCCACCACCCACCCCCATGAGCCAAACACAACAGAAGACGTGTGACTTGTGAAGAACCCAGTCATCCACAATAAACCATGGTTGATCCAGTCACCCTGGATCAACCAGCTCACCAGTCACCCCAAAACCGAGCACGGCTAGCCCAAGTCACCCACGGGTCAGCCACTTCGGCCCAGTCTCCAATTGAGTCCGAGTCACCCACAGCCACCGCAAAGTCACACGCGGTCAACCAGCACCGCCACCCAGAAGCAACCACGGCCACCCAAAGTCGCCCACGGTCAGCCAGTTCCCCAGCCAATTCACTGGCGCAGATTCAGCCCCCAAGTCACCGACAATAACCATTAAACTAATCGTCTGGTCAACGGTCAGCTAACAGGCCGGCGGCTCAGAGCCACGCGCAATCACCCCATGGCCACCCAAAGTCACCCACGGTCACACCCCGACTCGCCGGCAAGCCGCGCTTGTCCCGATACGTGTGGCTGCTGCGGTGAGCGGACACGGGGAGCCGCGGGGCCAGGGCGGAGCACGAGCCGAGGGCCGCGCGGACGATGCCCTCTCGGCGTGCACATGGGCCGCCGCGCGCCGCCATTTACCGCCCGGCGTCCGACTCGGGTGGCCACGGGGCCGCGCTCGGATCGCGCCAAGGATACTGTTGCGGGAGTCCTGGGCGAACCTGCGAGGCGGGGGGCGAGCGTCCTTTCGGTAAACTCATCGCAGCCGGGGAGGGCAGGGGGAAATGACGGCGGCGGCCTCGGGTAGACGCGGGGGCAGGGGAACAGCTCCGTGCTCACTCTGCCCGCGAGGGGGGAAAAGGGCCTCGCGTTCACCTGCGCGCCACACGCACAGAGCACCGCACCGAGCACGCATTCGTGAGCCGCGCCGAGCGCCGGGGTCCCGCGCGTCGACCGCGTCGCGCGGCGCCAGAAATGGAGAAAGCTGCGCGACGGATGGTTGCGGATTGTCCCGGGCGCCCCAACATGGCGTACCTCTCTATAGAGAGTCCATTAAACGGACGGGCGCGGAGGGCGCCGGAAACGGAGGTGATGAGTTCCGGGGTCACAGTCTGCCCCGCGCCGGCGTGCGGGGGGGAGGGGGGTGGGAGGGGGTCATAACGCCCCTTTTCCGGTACGTGCTCCGCCCACTCCCGGTACGTGCTCCGCCCGCTTCCTTGCCCCTGGCTCTCCGTCCCCGTCTCCCCCGTGGCGGCACCACGTGGCCGGGGGGTTGCGCGTGGGTCCGAGCACGTGGAGGAGGGAGCGCGAAGGCAAGGGGGGAGAGGGGGGAGGGTGGGGGAAGGGGGGCAAGGGAGGGAGGGGGAAGGGGGGGCAAGGGGGGGCAAGGGAGGGGGAAAGGGGGGAGCGGGAAAAGGGGTGGGGGGGAGCAAGGGGGCTCGGGGCGGGGCTCCCACTGCCGCCTAGCGGCCGGTGGCCGGTATTACGACTCTGCTCCCGTGGTGTTTCCCAGAGCAGAATGAAAATCTGGAGGAATCCGGTGAGCTATGAAGCTCTTTGTCACAGATGTCCAGAACAGGATGTTATTGGGATCAAGTGTACACGTTCTGTCACGCGGATGATCCTGTTCAGCCAGTTTTCCCGGCTGTTATTTTTTTCTACACGGGAGATCCGTGGTGCCACGTGAGCACAGCAGCAGCAATAAAAACAAGAGAGACAGAAACGTCGACATTGCGAGAGCGAGCACAGCAGGGTGCTTAAGGAATATTGCCAAACTAACAAACTCGGTACGTAAAAGACAGCACACAAAACAAATATAATTTGAGTAAGAGGTACCAGAAAAAAAGTAGGCACAGGTGAAAGTAACCAAGCTGTCGATGAGCAGAAGAGGTGTTCCAGAATCGTGGAGCAGCATCGTGTAGAGACTTCTTTCTACCAAAAAAAGTTGTAGCAAATGGATTCTTTTAGTGGGAATAATCAGGCACGTTTGAGGATACTGGAGGGAGTTAGAGGAACTGACTGATCTTTCAGCTAATTTATTGGCCAATTTATTTAGGCCCTTTAGAATGAAGACAGCCCAGCGATGGCCTCTCCCTATATCCAGGGGAGAGAGGTTCTTCACACCGATGCCAATGATGATGTTTCTACTGTACATGTTGTATCCACCGCTGGATGAAGGCCTCCCCACGCCGTCATGAACAGTGCCGCGATTCAGTGATCCGTCTTTCGTCGCCTGCGTGGTCAGGGCTGGAAATGGCAGATTACTGGAGGAACTCATCAATCCATAACATGCCGGTTTTAATTACTGGCGAAACGTCGTACTCAGATTGTAAATGTTGTGGATTTGCTCTCCAACACACCGGTGTGCTGTACTAGTGACGAATTGGCATGTTCCTAATTGGCTGTCGGGTGGTGGTGGGTTTAACGACACATTTACCCGATCTAACAAAAAAAACTATTATGGATAATATTGATCACGAAAGTGTGGTGCCACAGCGACGGGGCCGCTCTGCCGAGCCAGGGAGCCGCCCGGCTTCCCCCACCGCACTGCCCCCAATCACCCGCCCCACATAAGCACACACCCGCACGCATCCCCCCCCCCCCCCCCCATAGAGCTGGAAGGGAAGGTTACCTGATCGACCGGTTTTTATCCGAGAGACCCTTATCGGGATTAATTCTCACGGTTTCCGGCGATCAGGGAATTGGATGACCTCCCCCGTGCTACGTGGTACCGCGGCGCTGCTGCCGGCCTTAATATGGTGTGGTCGCGGCGTGGGGCATTCGGCCACCGCGGTTGAGGCGCATTTCCCCCCACACACACCCCCACGAGTCGACGGGGCAAGCAGGGGAGGCACGGGACAGCATGAATAGCGGGGTCACAGGGGCTGTTGCGCATAGTCATGGAGGGTTGGGATAATTGCGCTTGAGCGCGCAAGCCCCATTGTTAGGAAGGGTAAGGGAGTAATTAGGATTTACGCCTTGCACGCAGCACACTGATTAGCATATCAACAGCGCCTGGGGACTGCCGTGCGCGGGCTTGGGGTGCACGAGCCCATTGTTCAGCGCAGCATCCCCTTTGGAGGTAGGGAGGATAAATAGAGGAGCGCAGAGGGGAAATCGCTCTCTTACTCCAGCGCCAGGCGACCAGACGCAGCTCGAGCCAGCGACCCGAACGTCCGTGCGACGCACCGAGGCACGCGGTTAACACAAGGATCCGCGGACCGCCGTGGACACTTAACAGTGAGTAAGAAGGGGAATTAGAATCATAGCCGATAAATAGGGAATAGGTACAGGTTTAGTGGAATAGGCCAGCCTCGTCGACTCACTGATTCAACATCAATTCGCAGGTGGCATATAATAAATCATTAATAGCGAAGCGTGGTCTCGCGTGATCTTGTCGTGCAGTGTGAGCGTGTGGGTGCGCTGTGTGCACAGTGGTTCGCCACGTGAGTGAGCGCTGCGCGGAGCTGAGCGCGCGGGTTGCGTGTGGGAACGCGTGTGGTACTGTGTGTGCGTAAGCTCGCGGCGTGCGTAATCGGCGTACCCCAGGTGCGCGATTGTAACGTGAGCGGCCAGCGCGGCGCAGAGAAGCGCAAGAGTGAGTGCCGTACAGAGCTGTGTGTGTGGGTGTGCGCATACGTAATTAACCATGCCTGCTACGCGGACCCGCGGTGGAGTGGAACCCTCGGGCGACGGCTCCCACACCATGGGTGAGGAACTTAGCAGCGGTTCGCTTAGCAGCGGGGGGGCGATTGATGATGCTAGCCCGGCCGTTAGCATTATCGAGGGAGGGATTTCGGGGGCTAGCGACCCCCACAAAAGCCCTACTACGTGTTAAAAATGAACGCATAAATGCCGAGACGAACTACTCTTTTCGGAAACACTTCCAGATAATGTAGTGCATGTTGAACTGTTTTTGCACCATACGTAGCCAACCGTGCTAATCGAGGAAGGACAACAAACTAAAAACAGAACATTAAGTAATATTTTCGGGCCCATAGGGAGAGAAGTCGTGTGTTAGAGGTGCTTCCATTTATAACCATACTTTAATAATCAACAAAAAGGTATATCTTGTGTAAAGATAAACTTACATTGGTTAGATTAATGGCACGGCCTGTTGCACTTCAGGAGAGACGAGACACCATGCATTGTATCAAGTTCCAGTCTATGCTCCCTCTCCCTGCGAGCTGCTTTTTGCACTCCTCCGTCCCTCTATCAACCCAGCTCCGGCACAAATCAGAGGTTGAAACAGCCAATGTGGACCGCTACGGCACGGGAAAAGAAGACCACTCACTCGCTCGCTTACTCTTGGAATACTGAGAGAGAGGGAGAGTCCCTAATTGGCGTAAGCGTCTCATTGACGGTCTGCTGCCTCTCTTACACTCCTCTGTTGAAACAGCTGTGGTCTCCAGTGGTGCGACGAGCCCGGGCACGTCTGCAGGGACCTCTTTTCCCCCGCTGGTTTTGTACTCCCAGAATCCTTGAACGGTCTGCTGCTTCTCAAACATATGTAGTAAAATCCAGGTGACTACGGGGAGAACATGCAAACTCCAAATATACAGGCATACGGGGTCGGGATCAAAGCCACAACCTCCTGTATACCAGGCAAGGTAGTTAACATCTCGCCACAATGGCACCTCGATGAGCATGTCATTCGTCCGTGAGTATGCTAAGCAAACGTAAAACTTTTGCTACTGATTCCAACGCATACTTGTCTTCCTTCGTGAAGAGCAATTTCCTGGAATGCCAATTGATTTGCTTCCTAAGGGCAAGATTTAGAGTATTCTGCTTCTTTTCTTCTACTGCCTCGTGCTTTGAGAAACGTTTCTCTTTATACAAATGAATGTATGGGCCTCAGGGAGGGTGATGGAGTCACCCACAAGTTTCAGTGATAGTTCAGCCAACTCACTTAAGGTACCTCTCATTGCTGAATCGAACATGGCTGATAATGATCATAAATCAAGCCCGGTGTTCAAACGCGGGCCTGCCTTGCCCCACCATATGTCGGCAATCATTGTAACGTGAGAGCGACAGGGCTGCAACCCCACAGGAGTACGGCCAGGGGCGGTTTCTTCATTAGGGCGATTGGGCGACGCACCACCAATCTCATTCAACCACAGAATCATGCTAGCCGTTACTGTGCCTCTGGATATAGTCCAATCAGCGTCATGTCACGTTCTGTGGAGTACCGCCTCTTTTTGGGCGATTTCACTCCGGCTGAGAATCGCCCAGTGTTCCCATAGACTTACATTCAAAGATGTTTTTTTTCGAACGACGGGCGCTGCAATGCATTCTCTATGGCTTCCGGGAGGGCTCGCACTAACGTGCTTACGTCATCATACGTAAGCACGTTTCAGTCAACAATATTACTTGTCGCCACCTAGTGGAATCTTTAATAAAAGAAACTGAGTGGATTGTAATAATATTGAGTATAGAAACAAACAAGATGTATTGTAATAGTCACTTTATTTTTCATTAATATTAAAGAAGTGAAGTTGCCTTTACATGCTTAAGCTGTTAATTTATCCATTGCATGGGTGGACCTTATCCTTATCAATCATCCAGACATTTGCCCCCCCTGAGAGATTTTGCAGGAGCCGCCACTGAGTACGGCCATCTGGGCCAGACAGAGTACACTGCCTCACCCCAGGAGACCGTGTGCACAACGCTCCGGACAATTCTTTATGGAGGTTTTTTTATGTGAGTGAAAACCCAACGATCGCCGGGTATACAATACCAGGGACGACATTCGCATAGAGGCCACGGAGTGACTGGCGACTGAGACAAAATCACCTGGCATGCATCCGAACTCACGAGACCCCAGAAGCTAAGCGTGGTTTGAACCGTGGTGGTGCCTGAATGGACGACCACCAATGCGCACAAGGTTGTCATAGGTGGCCCTGGCTCGTTGTGGAGGGCAATTCAACAATAGTAACATATATAATGTCCTTTCTATACTCCTACGTCGATGCTCGCTGCCTTCAACCCACAAATCACCAGTGTGGTGAAGTATGGCCAAATGACCCCACGACCGGCAATACGTAGGGAGGCCCTAATCCAGAAGTCGAGTTACTGAAGGGCCGTTCATGTTGATCACTGCCGGCTGCAAGTGGAATGTTCGCCCACGTGCGCTGAGTACTGCCCTTGCAGTGCATCCGTTCACACGTGCAGTGACTCCTGCGCAGTTTCAAAGTTTAATTCGTTT